AGAGCAGTTGGAGGCTACGGAAGGAGTGTTGTATGGCATTGAAGCTCATTTGGAGGTTTGTTAACACAGTGTCCAATGAAGGGCCAGATGTATACAAAATGGTGTCGTCTGCGTAGAGGTGGATCTGAGAGTAACCAACAGCAAGAGCGACATCATTGATATACACAGAGAATAGAGTCGGCCCGAGAATTGAACCCTGTGGCACCCCCATAGAGACTGCCAGAGGTCCAGACAACAGGCACTCCGATTTGCCACTATTTAGTCTGCCAATAAGAATGTGGTGATTGACAGAGTCGAAAGCCTTGGCCAAGTCGATGAAGACGGCTGCACAGTATTGTCTTTTATTGATCACGGTTATAACATTGTTTAGGACCTTGAGCGTGGCTGAGGTGCACCCATGACCAGCTCGGAAACCAGATTGCATAGCGGAGAAGGTACGGTGGGATTCGAAATGGTCGGTGATCTGTTTGTTAACTTGGCTTTCAAATACTTTCGAAAGGCAGGGCAGGATGGATATAGGTCTGTAACAGTTTGAATCTAGAGTGTCACCCCCTGTCACACCCTGGTTCTGGGACTCATTATGTTGAGCCAGGGTGTGTGCAGTCTATGTGGTTTGGTTCTATGTTGGGTGTCAAAGTGTTGTATTATGTTGATTAGTCATATGACTCCCAATCGGAGGTAACGAGTGTCAGCTGTCGGCTCGTTATCTCTGATTGGGAGCCATATTTATTCTGTATGTGTTCTTGTGGGCATTGTGGGTTATTGTTCCGTTTCTGTCAGTTTAGCAGAGGACTTCACGAATCGTCGTTTGTTTTGTATTTACGTGCTTTACTTTATTAAAGTTATCATGTTCACTCAACGCGCTGCGCTTTGGTCCGTTCATTCATCAGACGATCGTGACAGAATAACCCACCAAAGAAAGACCAAGCAGCGCGTCCAGGAGCAAAGGGTCTGGACATGGGAGGAGGCGCCGGGTCAGGAGAGAACGTTGGTGGATGTCCTCCTCGGCTGGGGACATATTACCCAGGAGGAGGCCGTCCGGTACCGGAGGGCGATGAAGGGGGAGAACCTGGCAGGAGAGGAGCAGGGCCATCGTCGGAAGGACGGGAGGCAATCCCAAAAAGTTTTTTGGGGGGGGCACATGGCTTGGGCGACTGAGCAGCAGGAGGCTGCCACAAGGCAGATTCAGAAGGCTACCAGGTTAAGGGGGCTGACGGAGGCAGAGAAGGGACGGATTCAGGAGGCTACCAGGTTAAGGGGGCGACTGGGAAAGGCAGGGAAGGAAGGTGTAGAGGCACGGCGAGAGGTACTGGGGTGTGTAACCAGTCCGGTCCGGCCCGTTCCTAATCCCGAGGTACAGCCAGTAGTGTGTGTCCCCAGTACGGTACGGCCTGTTCCGGCCCCTCGCACTAAGTGTACGGTGCGCGTCGCCAGCCCAGCCCGGCCTGTTCCTGAGCCTCATACGAAACCCACGGTGTGCTACGCCAGCCCGACCCGGCCTGTTCCGGCCACTCGCACCAGGGATACGGTGCGCGTCGCCAGCTCAGCCCGGCCTGTTCCTGCTCCACGCACCAGGGATACGGTGCGCTTCGCCAGCCCGGCCCGGCCTGTTCCGGCCACTCGCACCAGGGATACGGTGCGCGTCGCCAGCCCAGCCCGGCCTGTTCCTACTCCACGCACCAGGGATACGGTGCGCTTCGCCAGCCCGGCCCGGCCTGTTCCGGCCTCTCGCACCAGGGATACGGTGCACGTCGCCAGCCCAGCCCGGCCTGTTCCTGCTCTCCGCACTAGGCCTTATGTGCGTCCCCAGGGTCCAGCATGCCCTGTTGCTGCTCTCCGCACTAGGCCTTATGTGCGTCCCCAGGGCCAAGCATGCCCTGTTACTTCTCCCCGCACTAGCCCTGAGATGCGTGTCCTCAGCCCGGTACCTCCAGTTCCGGCACCACGCACCAGGCCTACGGTGCGCCTCAGACGGCCTGAACTGTCCGTCTGCCCAACGCCGTCTGAACTGCCCGTCTGCCCAACGGCGCCTGAACTGTCCGTCTGCCCAACGCCGTCTGAACTGCCCGTCTGCCCAACGGCGTCTGAACTGCCCGTCTGCCCAACGCCGTCTGAACTGTCCGTCTGCCCAACGCCGTCTGAACTGCCCGTCTGTACTGAGCCTGCAAAGCCGCCCGTCTGCCATGAGCCGTCAGAGCCGTCCGCCAGACCGGAGCCGCTAGAGCTCTCCGCCAGACAGGATCAGCCAGAGCCTTCCGCCAGACAGGATCAGCCAGAGCCTTCCGCCAGACAGGATCAGCCAGAGCCTTCCGCCAGACAGGATCAGCCAGAGCCTTCCGCCAGACAGGATCAGCCAGAGCCTTCCGCCAGACAGGATCAGCCAGAGCCTTCCGCCAGACAGGAGCAGCCAGAGCCTTCCGTCAGACCGGATCAGCCAGAGCCTTCCGCCAGACCGGATCAGCCAGAGCCTTCCGCCAGACAGGATCAGCCAGAGCCTTCGGCCAGACAGGATCAGCCAGATCCGTCAGCCTGCCATGAGCAGCCAGATCCGTCGCCCAGCCATGAGCAGCCAGATCCGTCGGCCAGCCATGAGCAGCCAGATCCGTCGGCCAGCCATGAGCAGCCAGATCCTTCAGCCAGCCATGAGCCGTTCAGCCAGGATCCGCCAGAGCCGTCCAGCCAGGATCCGCCAGAGCCAGCCAGCCAGGATCCGCCATTGAGTCAGGTGCTGCCCCTTATCCTGGTGCTGCCCCTTAGTCCGGTGCTGCCCCTTAGTCCGGTGCTGCCCCTTAGTCCGGTGCTGCCCCTTAAACCGGTGGGGGTCATTTGGAGGAACCTACGTAAGCGGGTAGTGACGATGGTGGGGTGGTGGTCTAGGCCGGAGCCAGAACCGCCACCGAGGAGGTATGCCCGCCCAGCCCTCCCCTGTTTGGGGGTTTTGAGGCGCGGTCGCAGTCCGCGCCTTTAGGGGGGGGTACTGTCACACCCTGGTTCTGGGACTCATTATGTTGAGCCAGGGTGTGTGCAGTCTATGTGGTTTGGTTCTATGTTGGGTGTCAAAGTGTTGTATTATGTTGATTAGTCATATGACTCCCAATCGGAGGTAACGAGTGTCAGCTGTCGGCTCGTTATCTCTGATTGGGAGCCATATTTATTCTGTATGTGTTCTTGTGGGCATTGTGGGTTATTGTTCCGTTTCTGTCAGTTTAGCAGAGGACTTCACGAATCGTCGTTTGTTTTGTATTTACGTGCTTTACTTTATTAAAGTTATCATGTTCACTCAACGCGCTGCGCTTTGGTCCGTTCATTCATCAGACGATCGTGACACCCCCTTTGAATAGGGGGATGACCGCGGCAACTTTCCAATCTCTAGGGATCTCAGACGATACGAAAGAGAGGTTGAACAGGCTAGTAATAGGGGTTGCGACAATTTGGGCGGCTAATTTTAGAAAGAAAGGGTCCAGATTGTCTAGCCCAGCTGATTTGTAGGGGTCCAGATTTTGCAGCTCTTTCAGAACATCAGCTTTCGGGGGGCATGGGCAAGTTGCAGCAGAGGGTGCAGAGCTGGTGGCCGGGGTAGGGGTAGCCAGGTGGAAAGCATGGCCAGCCGTAGCAAAATGCTTGTTGAAATTCTCGATTATCGTAGATTTATCGGTGGTGACAGTGTTTCCTAGCCTCAGTGCAGTGGGCAGCTGGGAGGAGGTGCTCTTATTCTCCATGGACTTTACAGTGTCCCAAAACATTTTTAGGAGTTAGTGCTACAGGATGCACATTTCTGTTTGAAAAAGCTAGCCTTTGCTTTCCTAACTGATTGTGTATATTGGTTCCTGACTTCCCTGAAAAGTTGCATATCGCGGGGGCTGTTCGATGCTAATGCAGTACGCCACAGGATGTTTTTGTGCTGGTCAAGGGCAGTCAAGTCTGGGGTGAAGCAGGGGCTATATCTGTTTTTAGTTCTGAATTTTGTGAATGGGGCATGCTTATTTAAGATGGAGAGGAAAGCACTTTTAAAGAACAACCAGGCATCCTCTACTGACGGAATGAGGTCAATATCCAATTAGAAAGGCCTGCTCGCTAAAGTGTTTTAGGGAGCTTTTGACCGCGGACCCATTACGGACGCAGGCAATGAGGCAGTGATCATATGGAGAACTAAAAGAAGGAAGAAGTGGGAGTTTTGTTTGTTTTGGCAATGTACTATTTTAATTAGGGTGGATTGTTAGAATCACTTTTAAGTATGGATTGATTTTTATTAATTATTTTTTTTGGTTTCAAATCGTCCAGTTGGTGGCGGCAATACAACTTTTGGAGTCCGCCATAAAACTCACAGAAGAAGAAGAAGAGGCCAAAACGATTTTTCCGAGTCGGAGCTCGTTAGTTTTTTCCCGAGTTCCCACTTCCCAGTTTATTTGAAGGCACTGAAAGCATGTGCTTTCAAGACAACTGGGAATAAAAATAAAAAAAGAGGTGATATCATAACATCAGTGCTCTTCACATCGGAAAGAAGCCCGAGTTCCCGACTTGGAATTCCGAGTTGGATAACAGTTCAAAACGATTTATCGCAGTCCGAGATCGTTTTTTTTTTTTTTTTCATTTCCCAGTTTACTTTAACACACTGAAGTCAAGTTCGGAGATTTTCCAATTTCGATGCCACGTTCAAAACAAATGGGAACTCGGAACTGGAACCTCCGACCTCAGGGCGTTCAAAACAACTGGGAAAAATCTATTTGAACGGTCATCCAACTAGGAATTCCAACTGGGGACCTCGGGCCTCTTTCTAGAGCTCCGCCTTTTCCGACCTGAAGGGCACTGACGTCATGGTTTGAACCTATTTTCCCGAGTTCCCAGTTGTTTTGAACGCGGCATAAAACCAGGGATGTGACGTTTCATATGACACCGGAAATAAATCTCAAAAGGTCCTAACAACAAGTCGTCCGTTAGTTTTCAGTGCGATTGTTAGTTGTTTTTATTTACACGTCAGTAAAGACTAGCTTAAAGCATTTGTTGGAGATTGCACCAACATGGGGTTTGACTATAGTTTAACGTTTTCACTCTAGCCAGCTAACGTTGTCGCTGGCACGTTAGTTGCACATAGACCGGTAAGTTGGTGGTACTTATTTTGAACTAGTTAAACAACACTTTTAGTTGTACATATATGTATTTATTGTTTAAGTCATTTAGCAGACGCTCTTATCCAGAGCGACTTACAGTTAGTAAGTGCATACATTTTTCATACTACTCCCCCGTGGGAATCGAACCCACAACCCTGGCGTTGCAAGCGCCATGCTCTACCAACTGAGCTACAGGAGGTACATCACATAACAAGGAAGATGGGTTCGTCGAAGAAACACAAGGAGAAAGGGCGTGATAAGGATGCCGAAGAGCGTCACCGCGAACACAAAAAACACCGTCACAAGGACCGGGAGAGGGACAAGGAACGAAATGGCACCCGAGAAAGGGAGAAGAGGAAACGGTCCAGATCGAAGGAAAGGAACGGACGGTGTTCCCAGAGAGAAGGTCGCAGTAAAGGCGAAAGGAGTACAGGGGAGCCTCGTGTAAAGAAAGAAAAAGTGGAGCCCGGATATGAAGAGAGGCCAGGTAAATCCACATGGCAGTCAAATATCTTGGCTTAAACAATAATATATTCATACATGCATACATACATAATTAGAACCAATCAGTGCGCAATACACTCATATAGTCTGCAGGTATGACATTGAAGATGCCGGTTTTTCTCTTGTGTTTTTCACTTCAGTTGTTATTTTCCTTTTAGGAATTGGACCACAGTCTGCAAGTGGAGATGCCTCACTTAGCATTGAAGAGACAAAGTAAGTGAGACACAGACATTGAATGATGGTGCCCTGATGATGGTGTAAGTAAATTCTAAATAACTTTCTTCCCTGGCTAACTTTCTCTCTTAACAGCAAGCTGAGGGCCAAGCTTGGTCTGAAGCCTCTGGAAATGACTGACACCACTAAAGGTGAGGCAAAATTGAGCTAAATGGTGTCTCTGGCTAGAAGTAGATGACCATGGCTCCATTCCAAACATGTAAAAGACACACCATCTCCCCTCAGCCCTCAAATTAAGGGGACACTTCTGATGACGTATGATGAGTGGACACTTGCAGGGCGAGGGAAGAATGAATGAACTTTAGAGGGACGCCTTTGCCCGGAAATGTGCCACTCGTTCGTCCCACGGTTGTTTCAGTCATCATGGAACCAGCGGTAGCAGTTGTGTGTGCTTTATATGCGCTACAGTCAATTATGATTGTATTTTATATCTTGGCTAGAAGACAACGCATCCGCAGACATTGAATGCTAGCCATCCGACGATATCAGGTAAATTGAAAATTACAATGTAGAAGTGTGATGTCAGTGAAAGTTGTATGCGCTAGCTAACGTTTCCAAAAGCTAACCAAACAAAAACATTACTTTTACGATACATGTTTGTGCCGTCATGTGCATTAGGAGCACAATTTCTAACTTATTTACATATGTTTTTACTTACACTTGTATGTTGACTTCTCCATATTGATGTTGGTTTTAAGTTTTAGCAGATTTTCTTAGCGGATGTACAATCATCGCAAATTGAATTATGGGGTGTTTCAGGCCCCGGAGTGAACAGAATTGTACACTCGCAAACTCGATCACAAACGAGGGCTGAGGGGTTTACGTTGCCAACTTCCCTTGCTTGGCTAATTGTTTGGACCGACGGCAAAGATGGCCACGGGTATTCCCCCATGGGCATAAGGCGAAGGTAAGTGGAGGAGGATGTGTCTTTTATGCGTTTGAAACGCAGCCCATGCCTGTAGTAGTTAGGTCATGTGTGGCTGATTGTGATTTGACTGACCTCACCCCTGTCTGCTGCCCCAGAGCTCGGCACGAAGGAGCAGCCAATGGTTGCGGAGACTATCAACCCTGTGTACATCAAACAGCAGAAAGAGATGAGGGAGAAACTGGCGGCTATGAAGGAAAAGAGGCTCCTCAATAAGAAACTGGGGTAAGGTCTTACTGCAGAAAGGTTTTGGTTTAACATATAGTGATAAGTGATCCAATTAATTTTATTTTCTCTTTCTCTCCCACTGTGTTTTTTTTTATTCTTCAGGAAAGTGAAGACCTTAGCAGAAGGAGACTGGCTGGACGACACTGTAGCCTGGGTGGAGAGGAACCGGAAGATGGCCAAAGAGAAAGAACTGGCAGAGAAGAGAGTGAGTAGGGAGGGAACCATGGGGGGGAGAAGGAGGGCTGTGAGATGAAGGGAGATTGTTGTGTCTTAGTTATTATGTTATTATTTTGTACTCCGTTTTTGATTGGTTCCTTTATTTCCTTGCTTTCCCTATCAGGCCAAACTTCTGCAGGAGATGGATGAGGAGTTTGGTGTGAGCAATCTGGTGGAGGAGGAGTTTGGACAGGCCAAGAAGGTAAAATCTGCTCTCTTGTGTTGAATATCTCAATTGCTCAACTTACAATTGTGAAGACAACAGCATTCAGTGAATCTGCCAGTTTCCCCCCCTATGGAGTTTGAGACCTGTGACACCACTGCCCCTAAGGGATGCTCTTGATGTCTTGATTCTGTGCAGACTGAGTCGTCGTGCTATCTGACGTGAGAGAATGCCTCTAGGTCTTATGTTATTCTGCTTATCTTTGTTATAGGCCGCTTACAGGTCCCAGGACCTAAAGGGTCTCACTGTGCAGCATAGGGTGGAGTCATTTAATGAAGGGGAGACTGTCATCCTCACACTGCAAGACAAAGGTGAGGATGTTGAAATGTTAACAATAACACAGAAATATATCAATGACGAACATGCTTACACCAGACCCTCATTTCCCCTTTGTGTGTCTCTTTCAGGTGTGCTTGAAGAGGAGGACGATGTTCTTGTAAACGTGGGTCTAGTGGACAAAGAAAAGGCTGAGAAGAATGTGGAGTTGAAGAAGAAAAAGCCTGATTACAAAGCTTACGAAGAGGACGAGAGTGTAGATGACATGGTTACGGTAAGAATTGAGTCCCAAAATGTCCAGTTCGTCTTCATTTTCGGAAATACTGTCACGTCGCTCTCACCACTTAATTCAATCTCACTGACCAACGTCCACCTCTGCACTTATACTCTGCAGTTCAAGCCGCGTACTGTGCTGGGCAAGTATGATGAGGAGATTGATGGAGAGAAGAAGAAGAAGAGTTTCCAGCTGAGCAAAGGGGGCTGTGCTGAGGGGGAAAGGGAACGGGAGCTCCAGGCCATCCGGGAGACCCTGAGGAACCAGGCCCAGTCCCTGGAGATGCCTGCTCTCGCTATTGCCTCCGAGTACTACACACCACAGGAGATGGTGAGGGCTGGGGCTGTGGGGAGGTGGTTCTCTGGAGAGGGCCTGAAAACTGTCTTTTGGATATGTTTGCTCTCAGATTTCATGTATGAATGTGTCTACTTTTGAATCTAGGTCTGTGTGTGTTTTTTGGAGAATTGTTCACATACAATATGAGCTCTCATTAATGGTTGTCATTATTCACAGACCGATTCTTACTTATTTTATTGTTGTTAAAGGTGGGCTTTAAGAAGACCAAGGTGCGCGTCAGGAAGATCAGGAAGAAGGAGAAGGCGTTGCCTGACGAGCTCCAACTAGACGACACGCGCAACACCGACTTCGGCTCCAGGTTCTGCTCCTCTCAGCTTAGCTTCAATCGGAATATGACAGATGCGCCATCTTAGTTTCAGTCTGACTCGCTCTGTCTCTCCTTCAGGGTTCGGGGTCGGGGTCGCAGGCAGTTGGATGAGGAGGGCCAGGAGGTGGTAAATGAGGGTGTCTGCATACCGGGACTAGATGTACCCCAACAGTCTGATGACATCAGGATGGCGGACATGGACATCAGTGATGATGGTGAGGGAGACATCTGTTAGTGGTTTAGTGATGAGCTAAATAAATGTATGGTTCATTCATGCCTGGTTTTGTTTAATATTATGACAACACTTACATTTTACTCTTCCTTCAGAGGACTTCACTCCCCCTGAGCCGGCTGTGCTGGAGGAGGACGAGGCAGAGCAAGATCTGCAGAAACAGCTGGAGAAGCAGAGGAAGCTCAAACAGAAGCAGCTGCTCAAAGACTCTGGGGAAAAGGTGTGATCATTCTGTTCAGAACTGTTCCTCTCTTTACTCACAATGTTAGAATATCACTGTGGCTAAAGATCCTATCCGGTGCATTGATCCCTCATTTGACAACTGAAAACGGCAATATTGTGTGGATTACCATCAAACTGTTGTGATATTTAATCACCAATAAATGTGAAATGGTTCAACATTGTTCTCACTCTTGCGCTTCAGGTGGCAGAGCAGGTCCGAGGGCTTGCAAGAGGTGATGACGAAGACGACAAGAATCAAGCTGAACATTGTGTTCAACGCCACCTCTGAGTTCTGCAGAACTCTGGGTGACATCCCCACCTACGGCCTGTCAGGAAACAGAGAGGACCAGGAGGACATCATGGTCGGTACAGTGCAAGAGACAGGCTATAGCTAACTGTTTATTAAAAAATATATATACATCATTAGAATTGGCACATAACCACCCCATAAACAAGGAAACTATTACAATTGTATTGTAGTGTGCTCAGTAGAGAGAATTGAAATATCCATGAGCTCTGTTTGTTTGCACTTGAACACACTTTGGTTTGCGTCTGTATCAACTGTATCCTTCTGTTATAGAATTTTGAGCAGGAGGCGGAGAGAGATGGGGCTGGAGGTTCAGACTCAGATGAGGATGAGAATGTTGGCTGGAGCATCGTCAACGTGGATGAGGAACAGAAGCAGCCTGATGTGAGTCAACCTCCTGCCTTGTTGTCTCTTCCATATTCCCATGCATTTATCAGTAGTGCTGATTGGAGTCCCCTAGTGGGTAATTTAGAGAATAACATACTATGATTACATTTTGTCAGCCGGTTATCGTCATGCAAATAACTGCTGGTGTCACGGTAATTGACCGGTAATTAACATAAGCACATTTAGCATCCACTGATGCAGACCTTTGGAACATCTACATTTTAGTCTAATAAATCAATTTAATATAGCCTACACCGTCACAAAAATCCATTATTTTAGACCGGTCTAAAGAAACATCATATGAAGAAAATGTAGGCCATTTCAAAAGAACACAATAGCATATTCTGAGTTGTCCTTATGTTAGGCCCTGATCTGGCTATGCCATATGGCTGTGGGCTACACTAGTTCATTTAGCAGACAAGATTTGCTTAGAATTCCGTAGCATTATTTTATAGTATTTTTTACATTTTAGTCATTTAGCAGACGCTCTTATCCAGAGCGACTTACAGTTAGTGCATACATTTTCATACTGGCCCCCCGTGGGAATCGAACCCACAACCCTGGCATTGCAAACGCCATGCTCTACCAACTGAGCTACACGGGACTGTGTAGTATGAAGAATACAATTGAACATAGCTGAATCAAATATAAAGGGTATTTTCCCCAAACGATTTCCGAGGGAGTGCCAATATGCTGCTATTCTGTGTTGAGTCCTGTGTAGCTCAGTTGGTAGAGCATGGCGCTTGCAACGCCAGGGTTGTGGGTTCGATTCCCACGGGGAGCAGTTAATAAGAAACATGTCCTCCTATATGCTTAATTTAGAGTTATATATGTAACTTTAGTTGTGATACAAACGTTAGGCTATATGTTTAGATTGTTTTATACATTCTAAGGCTGCATGATGCGATATTTTTTTTAAATGATGATTTGAAAAAAGTTGCATGAAAGGCATGAGCTCTGCTCAGTTTCTTGCACAGGCTGCACACACTTCATCAGTCTCTCATTCACAATTTGACCAGGACTTGATAATATTCTCACCCATCAGACTATTCTTAATTTAATCTGGTCTTTGCATATAGCCTACTAATAATATATGTGTGGAATTATTTTAGATTTGGAATGTCCCCAAAAAATAATCTGTAGCCTGCACTCGAATAGTGAATGGAGGTTACTTGCTTTACGTTTTTAATATGCAAGCATATGCAGCGTGTCCATAAGGCTAGGGGAAGCGAAACTTTCCCTACAGTAAATGCAATTAAATTGCCAAAATTATATAGCCTAATTAGCCTACTCTGTTTAAGATTAGGGAGAACGTTTTTTTTTTTTTTTTATGAGCATGGCCTTATTTCTATTACAGCATATTGGATGACTGTCGTTCATATTTCATTCACCCAGCTCAATGTAACATCGATAGGTTTAGGCTGCTACATGATACTAAAATTTTTCCTATATCCATCATGAGGTTGCTACAACCTAGCCTATGAACGAAAGTTTACCATGTAGGTGCACAGGTCGAGAGAAATTAGAGTAATAAAGGTGACAGACGGTGACGCATTCAATACCACCTTGCACGCTCTTGCCTGCATCTACCTCATCTAGGGTGTAATCTTTAGTCAGGTATTTTTTCCACGTTTGCATCCGTTTAAGAAACGTTTTAACAGAATCGGCAGAATGAATACACCCCTGATCACACGCAAACACTGTTCACTTTCATAGCAGCCACAGCATGATCACATAATTCCTAATTCTACGCGCTCTCCTCCTCTCACCTTTCCTCTTCACTTGTGGACTTCAGTGCACAACAAATCAGCGGTCTGTGACCAGGCGAAAAAACATTTCCAAGCCAAACCTTAATATCATAACTGCTAACCGCTACACACAGCCTCCATCGTTGTCACCATACTAGCTAACGTCATGGTCAACATGGCTACTAGAACTAACACATTAGTAAACCTGCTACAAACAGCAGTGGTTAAACCGGTGGACCCGTCGCAATACATTAATAAAACCAAAAGCTTACCTTGACTTGGAATAGTTCCAGTGTCGGAGCTCGTTTTTCCCAGAGTTCCTAGTTTACTTGAAGGCACTGAAAGCACGTGCTTTCAAGACAACTGGGAATTTAAAAAAACATACAAAAAAAAGAGGTGAAATCATGACATCAGTGCTCTTCACGTCGGAAAGAGGCCAGAGTTCCCGACTTGGAATTCCGAGTTGGATGACAGTTAAAAACGCTTTTTCGTAGTCTGAGCTCTTTTTTATTTGTTTTAGTTCCCAGTTTACTAGAACGCACTAAAGTCGGAGTTCGGAGATTTTCGAATTTCGATGCCGCGTTCAAAACAAATGGGAACTCGGAACTGGAACCTCCGACTTCAGTGCGTTCAAATCAACTGGGAAAAATCTATTTGAACAGTCATCCAACTCGGAATTCCAACTCGGGAACTCTGGCCTCTTTCTAGAGCTCCGCCTTTCCGACCTGAAGATCACAGACGTCATGGTTTGACCCTATTTTTCCGAGTTCCCAGTTGTTTTGAACGCGGCATAAAACCAGGGATGTGACGTTTCATATGATACCAGAAATAAATCCCAAAAGGTCCTAACAACAAGTCGTCCATTAGTTTCCAGTACGATTGTTAGTTATTGTTATTCACACGTCAGTAAAGACTAGCTTAAAACATTTGTTGGAGATTGCACCAACATGGGATTTGACTAGCAAGCTTTTTGACTATAGTTAAACCTTTTCACTCTAGCCAGCTAACGTTGTCGCTGGCACGTTAGTTGCACACAGACCGGTAATTTGGTGGTACTTCTTTTGAACTACAGTGAGGGGAAAAAAGTATTTGATCCCCTGCTGATTTTATACATTTGCCCACTGACAAAGAAATGATCAGTCTATAATTTTTATGGTAGGTTTATTTGAACAGTGAGAGACAGAATAACAACAAAAAAATCCAGAAAAACACATGTCAAAAATGTTATAAATTGATTTGCATTTTAATGAGGGAAATAAGTATTTGACCCCTCTGCAAAACATGACTTAGTACTTGGTGGCAAAACCCTTGTTGGCAATCAGAGGTCAGACGTTTCTTGTAGTTGGCCACCAGCTTTGCACACATCTCAGGAGGGATTTTGTCCCACTCCTCTTTGCAGATCTTCTCCAAGTCATTAAGGTTTCGAGGCTGATGTTTGGCAACTCGAACCTTCAGCTCCATCCACAGATTTTCTATGGGATTAAGGTCTGGAGACTGGCTAGGCCACTCCAGGACCTTAATGTGCTTCTTCTTGAGCCACTCCTTTGTTGCCTTGGCCGTGTGTTTTGGGTCATTGTCATGCTGGAATACCCATCCACGACCCATTTTCAATGTCCTGGCTGAGGGAAGGAGGTTCTCACCCAAGATTTGACGGTACATGGCCCGTCCATCGTTCCTTTGATGCGGTGAAGTTGTCCTGTCCCCTTAGCAGAAAAACACCCCCAAAGCATAATGCTTCCACCTCCATGTTTGACGGTGGGGATGGTGTTCTTGGGGTCATAGGCAGCATTCCTCCTCCTCCAAACACGGTGAGTTGAGTTGATGCCAAAGAGCTCCATTTTGGTCTCATCTGATCACAACACTTTCACCCAGTTCTCCTCTGAATCATTCAGATGTTCATTGGCAAACTTCAGACGGGCATGTATATGTGCTTTCTTGAGCAGGGGGACCTTGCGGGCGCTGCAGGATTTCAGTCCTTCACGGCGTAGTGTTACCAATTGTTTTCTTGGTGACTATGGTCCCAGCTGCCTTGAGATCATTGACAAGATCCTCCCGTGTAGTTCTGGGCTGATTCCTCACCGTTCTCATGATCATTGCAACTCCACGAAGTGAGATCTTGCATGGAGCCCCAGGCCGAGGGAGATTTACAGTTATTTTGTGTTTCTTCCATTTGCGAATAATCGCACCAACTGTTGTCACCTTCTCACCAAGCTGCTTGGCGACGGTCTTGTAGCCCATTCCAGCCTTGTGTAGGTCTACAAACTTGTCCCTGACATCCTTGGAGAGCTCTTTGGTCTTGGCCATGGTGGAGAGTTTGGAATCTGATTGATTGCTTCTGTGGACAGGTGTCTTTTATACAGGTAACAAGCTGAGATTAGGAGCACTCCCTTTAAGAGTGTGCTCCTAATCTCAGCTTGTTACCTGTATAAAAGACACCTGGGAGCCAGAAATCAATCTTTCTGATTGAGAGGGTGTCATACTTATTTCCCTCATTAAAATGCAAATCAATTTTTTTCCTGGATTTTGTTTGTTGTTATTCTGTCTCTCACTGTTCAAATAAACATACCATTAAAATTATAGACTGATCATTTCTTTGTCAGTGGGCAAACGTACAAAATCAGCAGGGGATGAAATACTTTTTTCCCTCACTGTAGTTAGACAGCACTTTTAGTTGTACAGCACATAACATGGAAGATGGGTTCGAAGAAACACAAGGAGAAAGGCCGTGATAAGGATGCCAAAGAGCGTCACCGCAAACACAAAAAACACTGTCACAATGACCGGTAGAGGGACAAGGAACGAAATGGCACCCGAGAGAGGGAGAAGAGAAAACGGTCCAGATCGAAGGAAAGCAGCCTAAACCTATCGATGTTACATTGAGCTGGGTTAATGAAATATGAATGACAGTCATCCAATATGCCATAATAGAAATAAGTTCCAGTGTTGGATAGCCAGCTTGCTAACTAGCTAGCTGCATTCGCTTGCTAAGTGAACATTAAATAAAAAATACAACGAAACATAGCTAGCTCTTGCTTCTCTTTCATTTTTAAATAAATGTGTTTAAAAGCTGTTCAACTACTGTCTTTCTGAGTCAACTACTCACCACATTTTATGCACTGCAGTGCTAGCTAGTGAGCTGTAGCTTATGCTTTCAGTACTAGATTCATTCTCAGATCCTTTGATTGGGTGGAAAACATGTCAGTTCATGCTGCAAGAGCTCTGATGGGTTGAACGACATCCTCCGGAAGTTGTCATAATTACTGTGTAAGTCTATGGAAGGGGGTGAGAACCTTGAGCCTCCTAGGTTTTGTATTTAAGTCAATGTACCCAGAGGAGGACGGAAACTAGATGTCCTCCGGCTACACCATGGTGCTACCCTACAGAGTGCTGTTGAGGCTACTGTAGACTGTCATTGCAAAACAGTGTTTTAATCAATTATTTGTCGATGTGACTATATTTAGTATAGTTTTATCTAAAAAGGATAACTTTTATGTTTCACTATTTTGGGGGGGGCTACAGAGGATCATTAGCTTCTTTACAAAAAATAAGTTGTGGATTGTTTTAAATCGCATTGCCTACAGTCGGAAATAAAGGCAGTGTAGAGGCCAAGCCAGGCATATAGCAATATTTCAAAATACAATCACGGGAAAACCTAGTTTGGAAATCAAATGGTTATTGTTGTAAAGAGAAGACCATGAAAAAACGAATCTGTCTTTTAGTTATAAATATTATCTTATTGGCACCAGTGGAGCATCGGCAATATCCCAGATGAGTGCTCACTGCATATATTCACTATGTATCATTGTTGTGTCAGTGCTACTTAAATTTGTTTTTGGACAATTTCCTCCTCAAGTTTAGATGGACGTCATATTATATTTGTGTCTCCTTCTCTAGGCATATTAAATGGACAACTTCGTTTTTATTGATCTGTTTGTCAGTGTCAGCAGAGTAGGCTACCCAGTAATTTGTCATATAAAAAAAATGATTCTGCTAATGTCTCCAGTCATATAAAGTGTAGTAGAATTGCATGAAACGTCTATAAAAGGCCACATTCTTCCCAAGCGAAGAAAGAAGACATGTAGTAGCCTAGGCCTACTCTGCTATACGCGCTCAACCATGCATTGAGCTGTCTTTTTTTGAGGACAGTGATTGAGTTATATTATTAGCCTAAATTATGACTATCCAATATACTCATCACATTACGAATGGTAGGCTATCTTACATAAGTCTGCAAATGCGATGATGCATGGAATGCTTTATTATAAAGGTGCATTTTTATGGTGAAAATGTGCGTCCCCAAACTTGAAACTCAAGCGCCACCTTTGTATGCGAGGTAGGCTACACCAGTTGTAAAGCAGATTAATGTGATTAATAGTGGCCGGTCACACAAGTTTTCACACGCGATTGCGCAATGACTGGGCTTATAAGAACACGTTTCACTATGCTTTGTAGGCTATGTGCTCTAATTTTGCAAGGCACTGTATGATTGTAAAAAATTGCCAAAGAAAGGCATGCGCTGTTTCTTGCCTTAGACTGCACACACTGGGCATCATTCACAAGTGGTATTGTCACCGTTCAGAGTATTCTCAATTTAATCTTGTCTTTACATATAGTAAATAATGTGCGTGAAATTAGTTTTGATTTAGAATGGACCGTTATCATGCACCGGTCGGCACGGGGGGAAAATATACATGTTTTCCGTATGCACTTAAATAGCGAATGGTGGATACTTTTCCCATGGTTCATTTTCATTTGTCATTTAGCAGACGCTCTTATCCTGAGCGACTTACAGGAGCAATTATGGTTAAGTGCCTTGCTCAAGGGCACATCGACAGATTCTTCACCTAGTCGGCTCTGGGATTAGAACCAGCGACCTTTCGGTTACTGGCACAACGCTCTTAACCACTAAGCTACCTGCCGCCCCACGGCATGCCAGCCAGGTAGGCTACTCCTGTTTTAAAGTGAAGAAATGTGCTTAATATTAGGAAAGTTGAGAAATAAATATAGTAGGCCTAGCTTATAGAAAGCTGATGGGATCCTCTTTTTAATAGAGGCCATCAAAACTCTTGTTTTCTCATGCAATTGTATAGCCTATAGAAATGTTGTGCAACATGAGTGTTTGATTTTTGATGCATTTGCATTGATGTCAGAGTGATTAGAGGGAAAATAGAGCGCTGAGTACCAGGCCATTAGCGACTGGCACTTAGCAAGTTTGGTTGGCTACTAATGACCATCAGCGGCATCAGAGCGCAGTTTTGGAGAAGCCTAGTTACCGTGACTAAACGGTCACGTGGAATTTGACTGCGGTCATGACTCGTGACCCCCGGTGTTGCGGTAATATGGTCACTGTAACAGCCCTAACCATGATGACCCATAAGAATACACAAGGCTTTCCCCCCTGAACTACTGAGGTGAAAATGTGTGTCAGCTGGATGTGCTTGACTCACCTCTTGCTTCTATCTCATAGTTCTCCACAGCCTCAACCACCATCCTGGATGAAGAACCCATTGTCAAGTCTGGGCTGGCTGCTGCCTTGGCACTTTGCAAGAATAAGGGTAAGAGATTGGAGTAGCCCCACTGACAGTATTTGCTTAGTAAAGGACTGTCATGTAATGTTTCTGATCTATTCCTCTTGTCTCTCTCCTTTCCAATCTTCATCATTTCTTTCATGCTCTCCTTCTCTCCCTTAGGTCTCTTGGACACTCAAATGCAGAAGATATCCTGTGTCCGTGCTCCTACCGGTGCCCTGCCCAATGATAACTACAGCATTGAGGACAAGATGTGAGTTCCCTGTGCTTTGTGTGCTTATATGCTGGCTAAATAATTTCTGCTTGCTCACAGACATTGCAAAAGTTACAACATAAATAAAGTGGCATGTTTTGTGTGTTTACATGTTTTTAGCGCAGTACCTCATCAAATTGCGGATGTAAAATGGAGTCCTAACTGTAATGTATGAAAACCTGTTAGCCTCCATTGTTAACCCTCTGGTCTTGTTTCTCTAGGACTATAGATGACAAGTACAGTCGGAGGGAGGAATATAGAGGCTTCACCCAGGACTTCAAAGAGAAGGACGCCTACAAGCCTGACGTCAAAATTGAGTATGTGGATGAATCTGGACGGAAGCTCACTCCCAAAGAGGTACATGATTTAATATTCCCTTAACATCATTGACATACAGAATGTTGATTTTGTAAAATGTTTCAACTGCTGTTTTGACATAGGTAAATGGTGCTCATTGAGAATATTGCACACTAATCCTATTCCTTTTCTAGGCTTTCCGGCAGCTCTCACATCGGTTCCATGGGAAGGGGTCTGGCAAGATGAAGACTGAGAGGAGGATGAAAAAGCTGGAAGAGGAAGCGGTATGTCTAACCTTGCTCACTCAGATTATTTTAGGTCACTTTTGAAATGGCAAGCCCTACTTGGTAGGACTGAAATCAGAATACAAAGTATTTTTGTCTCTCATTTAAGTTAAAATCTTGGTTTACCTAATACTATTCATCCAAACTCGCATATGGCTTTCAATTGAATAACACACTTTTTATTTCCAGGCCTTTACAAGAAAATTCAGGTAGCAGGGCTTGCCCAATTTGACTACTTGGGTATATGACCTAGCAAGCCTCTAGTCTAGACCTGGGACGATAACCGAAAATGATCGACACCGACAATACCGATCACTTATCCCAGGCATTTTGCTGATATCGTTCATTATGATAAATAGCCTATACTAGAGAAATGTGATGTTTGAAATGAAATAAGTTCTAATATGGGTGATTTGTTAATGGGACAATTGATGGCTGCAACCATAACTACTAGCAGTAGTTAAAATTATCATAAATAAATCTGTGCACATTGTTATAAAATTATCGTTATATTTATCCCTAACGCATCAATTCAGGCAATTTATCGCGATATGGATTTTTGTCCATATGGCCCAGTTCTACTTTAGTCTAGTCAGTGGTTTGACCGAGTGTGTGTTTTAAATAGATCTCCCCCCACCGTTTCTCTTATCAGCTGTTAAAGAAGATGAGCAGTAGTGATACCCCTCTAGGAACGGTTGCTTTACTTCAGGAGAAACAGAAGTCACAGAAAACACCCTACATTGTTCTGAGTGGGAGTGGGAAGAGCATGAATGCGTGAGTATTTTACAAACCTCTTTGTCTTCTTTCACCCTGTCTTAGATGTATGTATTTCTAGTCTAATTACAGTGGCACTTTTTGAGATTGATTAGACAGAGCAGGATTGCAACTAGCAGCTCAGAATATTTCATTTAAAGGAGAATGTGAACTGCATAGAGTATGTACCTAATTATTACTCACATTGCTGTCTATTTCTCTCTCAATATGTTTTGCCTGTAATCCTCCTCTTTCCCCAGAAACAACATCACCAAATAGATGTGGTTGAGAAGAGGGACCTGACCTGTGAGGATGCGTGCTGTGCACCATTACACAAACACACACTGATATGTTTTAAGTTTATTTTCCTTGTTGAATAAAATCAAGTAGCTGCATATTGCTGTTGTGTGTAAATCAATCAATCAAATGTATTTATAAAGCCCTTTTTACATCAGCAGATGTCACAAAGTGCTATACAGAAACCCCAAACAGCAAGCAAAGCAGATGTAGAAACACGAAAGTAGAGTTTTTGCTTTTGACCCTGGATTTATGTAAACAATGATTATCATTGTTATTTACATACAGTAAAGATTTGACATGACATCTGGTTCCTTTTTTATTTCCCTAATATATTTGTTTGCTGGGGCAAGTTAAACCATTGAAATTGCAAGGTACTGAAGTTAGGGCAGCATTGTGTGTAGGCTATTTCATGTGAGTCAGGTAGGTTTAATATGTATCCTCTCATAGACAGTCTCTCCCACTTTAACACACGTATACAACACACGCACTGACTCTTTCTCAATTATCTAAAACCTCTCATTCTCTCTCAGCAATAAATTATTTCAAAGATTTTGGTATAAATAACAAAGCATTGATTTATTATTGACAGATGCCATTAACCAAAATCTTTATGTACATCACACAGATATATATATATATATATATTCCCAAATGGACCCTACACTGTAGTCTATGCACTTACGGAGATCAAAGAGAATTTGACAATAACCAGTCAAATAATCTCAAATCTTGTAGGGACTAGGGGTCCATTTGGGATTGGGCCTAACTCAGTGGTGTAAAAATACTTTAAAGTACTAAAGTATTTTTGGGGGGTATCAGTACTTTATTTTACTATTAAGATTTTTGCCAACTTTTACTCCACTACATTCCTAAAGAAAATGATGTTCTTCTTACTCCATACATTTTCCCTGACATCCAAAAGTACTCGTTACATTTTGAATGCTTAGCAGGACAGCAATGGACCAATTCACGCACCTATCAAGAGAACATCCCTGGTCATCTCTACTGCCTCTGATCTGGTGACTCACTAAACACAAATGCTTTGTTTCTGAATGATGACTGAGTGTTGGAGTGTGCCCCTGGCTATTTGTAAAATAAAATAAAAACACGAACAATTGTGCCAGCTGGTTTGCTTAATATATGGAATTAGAAATGATTTATACTTTTACTTTCGATACTTAAGTAATATTTTGCAATTACATTTACTTTTGATACTTAAATATATTTAAACCCAAATACTTTTAGACTTTTACTCAAGTAGTATGTTACTGGGTGACTTTCGCTTTTACTTGAGTCATTTTCTATTAAGGTATCTTTACTTTTACTCAAGTATGACTATTGGGTACTTTTTCCACCACTGGCCTCACTTGTTAACATCTCCAGATCAATGTAGGATGCATATCAACAATATGAATATGGCTTTATCTTTTGAAAGCTGAATATAAAACATTGAAATGCTCTTGAGATACATTTGGAAGATGATTATTAGAAATAGGCCTACATTACACAACATGGGAAAGTGGCAAGTTCACATTAATTGAACCAGAGTTTTTTATGAAATTTGAGACGCAAAATGAAGTAACGGAAGCGGAAATAACAATCTCGGCGGGATAAGGAAGTGATATTGGAATTTATGAAAACCATTTATCACATACACAACCAGTGCGGTAACTACCGTCTACGTGGTTGGAAAGGGACACGAAACCGCTTACGACAAGAAATAAGGTAGCTTATACACCAGTACGCTACTGGAATTGTTTTAATGTTCTAAACGTCTATGCTAGCTCTAAATCTGATTGGTAGCACGGGAGACTAGCTATAATATATCCATAGCTAGAAGCAGACCGCACGTTAGAGCAGTTAGCTCAGGCTAGTTAGCACACAATCACCATTAGCAAACATTGAATAGTCATGTGAGTTTAAGTTCAATTGTCTGATCCAAACATTTCGCAACGTAACTAGAAGCTAGTTGTTTCTGACTTAGCAAGCTAGCTAACCTTTTTATCACACCCAATTGTTATGTTAGCTGGCTACACTGTTTTGCTTGCTAGTTGGCTAACTAACTAGCTCAAGTGAAGTTGTTGTGCGCTGAGTTTGAGAGCTCCAAAATAGTGCGCCTACTGTGGCTATGTAGCAAACTAACAATGTAGTTTTGCGTGCATTACACTAAATATTGTGGTCCTGGTCAAGTTAGGAAAGCATACAAGGAGTATTTGTTTCCCATAAAGAACATGGAAAGGTTTTGGTTTCAGTTTTTAAGTTGTAAGTCACTTTGAGGCACTCCCAATATGTTTTATACAAATTATGTTCACCCGGTATATCTTGTTTTAATATACGTTAGCTACAGCTAGCAACACGATATATTGGTGTAGATCAATTGTGCCTCAACTGTTTCAAATCAAGATACAATAATGTGCAATAACCTCCAATTGTAGTGAATTACTTCATTTTATATTCTGTTCCTTGTGTGAAGGTACTCTAGGTGATCACTGACAGAAAGCAGCCATGTCGTCAACATCCCAGAAACACAAAGAGTTTGTGGCAGAACCCATGGGGGAGAAGCCAGTCAATGCACTTGCTGGCATTGGAGAGGTGCTTGGCAAGAGACTGGAGGAGAAGGGCTTCGACAAGGTGATGCAGAGTTTACTTAACTTTGAACTTTAATCAATCAATTGAATGTATTTATAAAGCCCATTTTACATCAGCAGATGTCACAAAGTGCTTATACAGAAACCCAGCCTAAAACCCCAAAGAGCAAGCAATGCAGATAAGCATGGTGGCTAGGGAAAAACTCTAGAAAGGAAGGAACCTAGAGGAACCAGGCTCTGAGGGGTGGCCAGTCCTCTTCTGGCTGTGCCAGTGGAGATAATAGATAATGGAACTTTGTTTTGAATAATCATTTTACCTAGTGGTTAGTGTATTGACATGTTCTCTTTTCCCCCTCCATTCTCACTTGCATATTCCATAGGCTTACGTGGTCCTGGGTCAGTTCCTAGTGCTGAAGAAGGATGAGGAGCTATTCCGGGACTGGCTGAAAGATACATGTGGGGCCAATGTCAAACAGCAGGGCGATTGCTACGGCTGCCTGCGTGAGTGGTGCGATTCTTTCCTGTAGAGAAGCTATTTTCTCCTGTTTCAGTTTTTCTTTTTTCTAAATCCCAAACATCTATTTACCTCTACTGTGGTCTCACATCAACTTACACCTCATATGGACTCACACTGCACATGAGGAAGTTAAGCAAAGTCGGACGTCGTAACACCCAGTTATTTTGAACTATAGTCTTATAGACCTAAGAATGCTTTTAAATCAGTAAGACATACTTTGCTGCAGTCATCAATGGGGTTGTTACACCCAACTGTGTAACTCTAATGCTGACCTTTTCTATGATTAAAATCTTTGGCTGCACAGAAACGTTGGGAATGAGCTCATTTTGGTTTTCCTGCATTGTTATTTCAATTGGGTCTCTCTGTCAAAGAAAACAACTGTTATCAACACGGTCCCTTCACATGAAAGGTAGAACTCATGTATGTACTCATCTCCAACTGACTGTTTGCCCTTGCATTTATTAAAATGAACTTATAATAGAATTTTAAACCATTTTAGATACCACATAGCTTTAACGTCTGTAGTTAAAATGTCAAGATGTTACTGTTCATTTTTACAACACAGAGTTCACAGGAAACACTAAGGTGTAATTGCCCCATGTTATCTTGTTTTGTTTTTGTCAAAGTTGAAGAGATTCTTCAATGTTGTAATATTTTAAAGTAATATCTGTGATCTACTTAAGACGTTAGCTACAAATCACCTCATTTTCAATCTTCACACAAAAAATGAAAGCTTAAAGTAAACCCACGAAAAGGAGCACTGTTGTTCCCAGAAGTAATTTCTAAGCATACTTGTGTTGCTCGCTAATGTTTAATTGCTAAATGATGGTTTTTCTGAAACACTGGTTCATGTTTTTGACTGTGAAAGCATATTAGTTTTTATATTTTTCTTTTTACATGAACAAAAGCAACGGCAAGATCTGGACAATTCTGGGTTTGTTTTTGCCATTTTTTGTGGGGGGAAATAAAATCACAAATTAAATGCAAACTTGTTTTTGGTGACAGTGTTTATTTTAATCTTTGATTACCAACGTCTTCTTTTATTCAGAGCTCTTAATTCATTTTAGTTAAGAAATATGAACCGTGAAGGTCTGCATTGTGTCACTGATCTTAACAGTGATAATATTCCTAAGCAACCTTAGACTGGTCTGGAAAAAATAACAGCAATTTGTATGTATTATTTATTAAATGTACCTCTTATTTTAGTTAATAGCGTTGTAATAAAGCCATATCTTTGTTAGGCATCCATCCACTTGACAAATAAACTGTTTTTATCATTTATAAAAACAGCATTGAGTATTTGTTATGGGCACCCCCCCCCCCCCCCCCCTCTTTTTAGATCCCTGATCTTGTGTTAAGGCAGCTTACCACTTCTTGTACAAACCAGTGGAATTATTTGGGTTAGTTTGTATTGCCTTGTCCTCTTAATACCCTCTTACTGATCCAGTGGCACCTACACTTCACACACATTTCTGCAACAAAGCTTTAAAAAAGTGACATCAAGGACTGTCAATATATCACACACAAAAAAACCATTAAACAAAGGCAGATTAGAGCAGGTAATGGATATTTGCCATGAAGTGTGTAGTCACCCCTCTCCATTACCCATTTTGCCTATTGAGTTCATTTGAAAAATTAGCTATGACTATGAGCTGTGTAATTTTGCATATTGTATGTACAGTATATCCACATGTATGTTTTGCTATGGTTCATGATTCTATCAGCTTTGTTGGTGTGTTTTAGATGTGTATTTGTTTTGAAATGCCACCATCATGACTCATAAGTTAATGGTTACGTATTGTTTACGTTTATGTACATTTATATTTTGGTTGGAAATTAACAGATCTGTTTTTTTCCTAAAATAATGGCACCAATTGGTCTTGAGATTCTACTTAAAAGAATATGTACATGTGCAGCCTTTTATAAGATAAATATATATATATAGTAGGCTACATGGATAGGTTAAAGTTAGCTTTGTTGCGTATGGGGTGAATGCATGTAAATACATTATGTTCTATTTGGACAGTGTTTTTCATAACCATCCTGTGGTTTGTCTCAAAGAAGTGCACAGAAGAGCTTCTTCTCCCTGAATGGGTTCTCCGAGGTGGGCACAGGGGTGATGAGGGGGTCCTCAATGGCGTGGGCATCACAGTATGCCATCAGGTCTGCAGCCGCCTTTGATACCTGAGGGTGGCAAGTAGTGGGAATCAAGACTGGAAATGAAGGTGTGGGCATTCACCAAAGGCATCAAGGCACGTGCAATGTGCCCCCTCAGTTTCAATGGGCATGATGCCTCTGGCAAGACTTACCTTGATCCTGCAAAAACTGGCTTCAATCTTCAATTGCTCCACCAGCTTCCTGGCTTGGCCGACACTCATGGTGCTGTTCACTGGGGTGTCTCCTTTCATCCTGTCAAGAGAGCCAAGGATACATATGGCACATGATTCACATTCAATCATTTGTTTTAGAAAAAATACCACTGACAGCTGGAAAGGCAGATGTACAGCGTGATGCATGACTTTAGAACATTGCACTGCATTCATTCTAGGTAGCTTACATTTCTATGGATTCTTATCAGTGAAAATATATGAATCACTGACTGCATCCAATTCCACTCCCTCCTAAATTTGACACACTTTTTTAGCTCATTTACTTCAATCTTCCTCTGCTCTCCTCCCTCCTCTCTCTGTCTATCTCCAGGGACCAATGGTGTAATTTACTACCGATATTTTAATACTGAACAAAAATATAAACGCAACATGTAAAGTGTTGGTCCCATGTTTCATGAGCTGAAATACAAGATCCCAGAAATGTTCCATATGCACAAAAAGCTTATTTCTCTCAAATTTTGTGCACAAATGTGTTTACATCCCTGTTAGTGAGCATTTCTCCTTTGCCAAGATAATCCATCCACCTGACAGGTGTGGCATATCAAGAAGCTGATTAAACAGCATGATCATTACACAGGTGTACCTTGTGCTGGGGACAATAAAAAGCCACTCTAAAATGTGCCGTTTTGTTACACAACCAAATGAAACATGTCTCAAGTTTTGAGGGAATGTGCAATTGGCATGCTGACTGCAGGAATGTCCACCAGAGTTGTTGCCAGATAATTTTATGTTAATTTATCTACCATAAACTGCCTCTAACGTCGTTTTAGTGAATTTGGCAGTACGTCCAACTTGCTTCACAACCGCAGACCACGTGTAACTATGCCATCCCAGGACCTCCACATCTGGCTTCTTCACCTGCGGGATCGTCTGAGACCAGCCACCCGGATAGCTGATGAAACTGAGGAGTATTTCTATCTGTAATAAAGCCCTTTTTTGGGGGAAAAACTAATTCTGATTGGCTGGGCCTGGCTCACCAGTGGGCACCCATGAAATCCATAGATTAGGGCTTAATGAATTGATTTAAAATGACTGATTTCCTTATATGAACTGTAAATTCGTAAAATCTTTGAAATTGTTGCATGTTGCGTTTATATCTTTTTGTCCGGTATAGTTTATCATCTTCACAAGCTGTAGGACAATTCATAATGTGTACATGGATGATTGGTTGTTTTTGTTTTTAATTGTCGGTGTACAATTTATTTGCCGTACAGATAGTCATCTTAAGTCGGTTAAAGATCCAATCTCAAACTTTTGTAACATTTCAGCCAGTAGTTTTGAAAGTGGTACTCACAAGCCAAACGTGGTCCCTGTTTTTTGTGTACTACGTCATCCAATTGTGTACTATGTCATCTATTTCCATGAGTTTGTCTGTAATTATGTGTTCAAGCAGACAGCACTATTGTCCCCAATGGCAGGGAAATCTCTAGAGCTTATAGAAAGTATAGAAAAAGCACCTTATTCTTGCTGAAAACAAATAGTTTTAGCTCAGAATGATGGGATGATGGACACATTTTGTAGATATATTTGATATGGCCAGTTATTTATGGGACCTCGTTTGACGGGAACACACCAATTGAATGGCTCAAGCAGCCAAAAAACTGGGCCAAATGCACAAATGCCTTAGCACACAGATCTGGATGTGTGTGAATATCATCAAATCACATCAACATCAAATATGCAAGGGATATAAGCACACCACTGCCTGGTTAATACAAATCAAGTTGAAGTGACAGTATACAGAGAAAGTTAAACAGAAAACAAATAATGAATGGACAAGAAGTGTGAGGAGAAATCGATAACTGGAGAAAGAGAGAGGCAACAAGACCAGTCCATTCTGGGCCTCTCCTGCTCCTCTTATTATTCCTTTTCACCATCACCTCCTTGTCATCCTCTACCTTACCCTTGTTGTATTCCTCTTCAGGTGCTCTCTCTCCCTCCTCTTCTCTCTCTCTCTCTCCCTCTCACTCTCTCTCACCCTCTATCTGCCCGTGTTAGGGATTTTAGTGTAGCTCAACCCCACCCCTCATAGACAGTGTATGCTACACTGTTCTGTACAGTCCAGTGCGCTGCAATTCTGCTACAATGAACATCAGACTCCTAGTACATGCATAAGAACCCCCTCTGCAGTCAGTGGAAGCTTCCGGGCAAAGGGAGGAGGGATCCATTGGAATCGATTTTCTTCTGCAAGCTGGATCATACCATCGCTAAATGAAAATAAAGGGGAATGAGGCAGATATGGAATCTCACAGACGAAATCGTTGACATAACAAAAGATGAGCATGATGTTTTGTGTCCCGCCCAAATACAATATTCACTATCATTGATATGCACTGTTAGAATTTAAATTATGTTATTTGCATTAGTTACCCTCTCCCTCTCTCTTCTGTTGCCATGGGAACTGCTGCAGTCTCTGGGCTCTTTGACTTTTACATTCTATCATCATACTGCCCTCAATGGTCTCTCCCACCTTGGCAAGAGATATTTGTAGTCCCTCCTACCAATGCTGCCCATCACTTGCCCCCCCTTGTCTCCACCCTTCCTCCCTTTCCCATCACGCCTCTCATGTTTCCAGTCTCTCTCTATCTCTATCTATTACATTGGAGAGAATAGAAAATGTGAAGGACAATGACATGGATAATATTTCTTAGAATGTTGAATTCAGGTTAATAATGTTGTATTAATTATGAACAGATTAATAAGAATTTCTATGAGCTGTTAAGCATAGGCTATGATTTTGACCACGTTATCTTTCCTGATCAAATCTATCTTATATATCTCATTTGAAATGTCTACATCCATTCTCATACATAACACTTTTCATGGGTTACTTACTGATGAAGGTGTGAAATGATCTCAACTTCAACCTCTGTGCACCCTTTGCACATGAACGCGTCGGTAGCTTGCTACCTTTACAGGTGTATTGCTATAAAGGTTGTAATATGTCAACTGAATCCTAGATCATATAGAATAAATGATATTCTGTTGAAATATATGGGTAACTACCACTGTCATTCATCATCATTTTGAAATGTTGTTATCTTCACGATAATGTTGAAGCTAGCTAGCCAGCAGCAGATGAGTCTTCTATTATAAGGGCTCTGGCCAGCAGCAGCATAGTTACACTATACAGTGCATTCGGAAAGTAATCAGACCTCTTGACTTTTTCCACATTTTGTTACGTTACAGCCTTATTCTAAAATGGATTAAATGTTTTTTTTCTCCCCCTCATCAATCTACACACAATACCCCATAATGACAAAGCGAAAACAGGTTTTTATAAATTTTTGCAAATGTATGTCCCGAAGCCACTCCTGCATTGTCTTGGATGTGTGCTTAGGGTCGTTGTCCTGTTGGAAGGTGAACCTTCGCCCCAGTCTGAAGTCCTGAGCACTCTGGAGCAGGTTTTCATCAAGGATCTCTCTGTACTCTGCTCCGTTCATCTTTCCCTCGATCCTGACTAGTCTCCCAGTCCCATCCCCACAGCATGATGCTGCCACCCCCATGCTTCACCGTAGGGATGGTGCCAGGTTTCCTCCAGTAGTGGCATTCAGGCCAAAGAGTTCAATCTTGGTTTCATCAGACCAGAGAATCTTGTTTATCATGGTCTGAGAGTCCTTTGGGTGCCTTTTGGCAAACTGCAAGCGGGCTGTCATGTGCCTTTTACTGAGGAGTGGCTTCCGTCTGGCCACTCTTGATTGGTGGAGAGCTGCAGAGATGGTTGTCCTTCTGGAAGGTTCTCCCATCTCCACAGAGGAACTCTGGAGCTCTGTCAGCGTGACCATCGGGTTCTTGGTCACCTCCCTTACCAAGGCCCTTCTCCCCCGATTGCTCAGTTTGGCCGGGCGGCCAGCTCTAGGAAGAGTCTTGGTGGTTCCAAACTTCCTCCATTTAAGAATGATGGAGGCCACTGTTTTCTTGGGGACCTTCAATGCTGCAGACATTTTTTGGTACACTTCCCCAGATCTGTGCCTCGACACAATCCTGTCTCGGAGCTCTACGGACAATTCCTTCGACCTCATGGCTTGGTTTTTGCTCTGACATGAACTGTCAACTGTGGGACCTTATCTAGACAGGTGTGTGCCTTTCCAAATCATGTCCAATCAATTGAATTTACCACAGGTGGAATCCAATCAAGTTGTAGAATTATCTCAAGGATGGTCAATGGAAACAGGATGCACCTGAGCTCAATTTCGGGTCTCATAGCAAAGGGTCTGAATAAAATGTCTAAAAACGTGTTTTTGCTTGGTCAATATGGGGTATTGTGTGTAGATTGATGAGGAACATTTATTTAATCAATTTTAGAATAAGGCTGTAACGTAACTAAATGTGGAAAAAGTATGTACAAAAATATGGCTGTATATACAACAGTAAGTGGACACCCCTTCAAATTAGTGAATTTGGCTATTTCAGCCACACCCGTAGCTGACATGTGTTTGTAATCGAGCACACAGCCATGCAATCTCCATAGACAAACATTGGCAGTAGAATTGCCTTAATGAAGAGCTCAGTGACATTCAACGTGGCACTGTCATAAGATGCCACCTTTCCAACAAGTCAGTTCATCAAATGTCTGCCCTGCTAGAGCTGCCCCAGTCAACTGTAAGTGCTGTTATTGTGAAGTGGAAACGTCTAGGAGCAACGGTTCAGCTGCGAAGTGGTAGGCCACACAAGTTCGCAGAACGTGACCGGCGAGTGCTGAAGCACGCAGCACGTAAAAATCATCTCGGTTGCAACACTCACTACCGATTTCCAAACTGCCTCTGGAAGCAGCGTCACCACAAGAACTGTTAATCGGGAGCTTCATTAAATGGGTTTCCATGGCAGAGCAGCCACACACAAGCCTAGGATCACCATGCGCAATGCCAAGCGTTGGCTGGAGAGGTGTAAACCTTGCCGCCATTGGACTCTGGAGTAGAGGAAACCCGTTCTCTGGAGTGATGAATCACGCTTCACCATCTGCCAGTCCGACGGACGAATCTGGGTTTGCCAGATGCCAGGAGAACGCTACCTGCCCC